AGCATGGTAAGGAGAGTGTCTCAGCCTGGAGAAAGTGCAGGTCTAGCCTTGGTCATGTTGACGGAGGGGCGGCACTTCAGAGGCTCCAGGACCCCATGGCACCAGTCTCCCCAGTCCCCCAGACAGACTGGGAGCATCTGGGCTCTGTCAGCGCCTCTGGCCCCCGCAGACTCCGATCTATATGACGGGGGAGAGGAGTGGATTGGATCAGGGAGAGGGAAAATATGAGCCAGATTCCTCAGCCTTGTGCAAAATGCCTGCTTTGCCAGTTAGCATGTTACATGTGTGTATGTGTGTGTATGCTTGCATTAAGGCCTGATAGCAGGTCATAGTGATTAATTTTGTATGATGTGAGATAGGGGTTATTGATTAGATCCTAATGCTGGAAAAGTCCTCTCAATAAATTGTCCAATTAAGCATTAATTAAAAATGTGCCGCTAAAAACATGCAAAGCCAGTTCTAAGCAAAAACATCAAGATTGGCCTGACAGATATCATTCCAGAGTTTCCTTATGAAAGCGGATATAGCTCCTAAGCTCCGCCACATGGAAACTGATACACACACACACACAAGACTAATTAATCCATACACTAAATTAGGAATATAAATTGTGGTCCCAATTTAACAAGGTCAGTTTTAACTTCTCCCTTTACACTTTATTTAACTATGTAGGAGAAAGAAAAAAGAGGAGCCCTATCAATGTGCTTCGCTTATTATGATTGACGATTGATGATTAAGTCCTCCAGCTGACACACACCACCAAAGCCGGTGAGTTGGAATTGGATGTGACACATACACAGTTCTGCGTGTTAGGTAATTCGTTGACGAGGGGCCAAATTCATTTATGGAACAGCGGTATTGGCAGGCATGGACACTCTCTGCAAAAACAACGATAATCACAGAGGTTTGGCGCGGCGTGACAAGGACTCTTCAGGGAAAGGCCCTTACACGCTGCTTTGTTGGCCGTTCCTCCCTAAGATGGAGGGAAACATCCGCCACTGTTCTTAAGATGAGAGTCGCTCGGAGCAGGAGGATAGGGGTTTATGTAAGGTGTGGATGATGTTTAAAGGGCTTGATTAGCACTTGTTGGATCTGTTTTGATGAAATAACTATTTCATTATTATATCTGGAATGTATATATTTTTATAAATATGAATGTAGCTTTGCCTTTTGGGGGGAGGCAATAAGTGATGTTCTTTTTTTTTTGTGGAATTGATGAAATAAAGGCTCTGATAAATTCCCTCTAATGAAACATGAGGGGGACCCTGTCTCAAGCCATTTAATCTCTTTTCGCATTCTCCATTTTTTCTGCTAATGAGCCTTATTGACAATCAAACAGAAGCTGTCATCCCCCAGGATGCAACACTCCCAGCCCCTGCGTGTTTGTCATAGTGTCCTGGCAATCAGAGCTGCCTGCAAGACCAGGCTGGCAGTTAGCGGTTCTCACAGCAGCACTGCCTGAAAATGGCACACTTCCTGTAGAGTTGCAGCTGCCACCTCTGCTACTTCCATTACTTTCTATAGCATGCAGATGTTGTATCAACATTCCCTGCCAAGGGGACTGCAATAACTGTGAGATTCATGCCATGTTTCAGAGGCACGTCAATTTCTCAAGTGGCACAATTAAAGAGGGAAATACAGTACCAGGTTTTTCACAGGCGCTGAAATCGGAAAAGGGCTTTTTCACTTTTTTTCCAAAGGGGGGCTGTTTCATAAGGGTTCAGAAATCCACCCAATTTTTACTGCCCTTTTCCTGAGTTGAGCTGTTCTGTAAGCCTTTGTGAGGCAGACCTATCGTGACCCACAGCGGATATGGAAATGGGGCTAAGGTTTTATGGGCCAAACGGATTGGACACAGTCAAGCTCAGGGGGCATGAATATTGGATGTTATTTCTGGTCCCTTTTTATGTAATCCATTGCCAATACATTATTAATAGATGATATCATATCCAGAACTACTGGACAAAGCACTACAGAAGGGTGCTATGAAAGGAGCTCTATGTGGAGACTGTGGCAGAAAATACAGTTCAGTGATATTATTTTATCACCGTAGCCTAACACTCCCTGACCAGGCAATCTTTAAAGTGTAATTTTTGGTCTAAGTGAAGTTCATAGAAGGAAAATATAGTGAATACTGTATTTCTACCAGGGGTAAATCCTGCATTTGTGGGTTTGAAATGCACTGAAACATTGATGAAGTATCAAATGACACCCAAATACAAGTTTAATGGATTTTGAAGCACTGGGATACTTTGCTCATCTCCCCTTGACTGCAGTGAGTGAAGTGGAAATCTTTGCGATGATCTAGAGTTTTCCTTGCAAAGCTGACTCCCAGTGTATAGTAGCATGGGAGCAGTGTCTTATCTGATGTACCGATTCACAGACAGGAGACGTTGCTAATGTGGGACTGTTAAAAAAGAAAAAAATGAAAAAAGGGTCAGATTCCCTGTTTCAATGCAAATGTGGAATTGTTCAAAAAAGGTCACACTCCCTATTTTGATTCATTGTCATCTTAAAGTTATGATCTCTAGTCGTGCAGCTTTTATGAGTCACAGTCACAGCTGTATCCCACTTATGTACTTCAAAACTTCACGAGAGTTGCAGTCGCTGTTTTTTTTTCCTTCACAAAAACACATCACTCAGCGTTTACACAAATCCTGTCTGTCTAAGAGCAAATCCTTAAAAAGTACTTCTCAGCACTGCCTATCCAGTAGAGAACATAAACTGTCTCCCACCTTTTAGTTTTATGGCCTGACTTGATACTGTACACATACTGGAACAAAGGTATTATCACATCCATTAAAAGTGAATGTATAAGCCCATCAATAAGAGTTACGTAGGGAGTGGATGCGTAAGGTAATATTCTCTTTTTAAGGTCAGTTTGAATTGTTTTTTCTCATGGGAAACGGCAGATTGATAAAGAGCAAACAAAACCTCTTTTCTGAATGCTTGTCCTCCATGGCCTCAATGAAGGTTTCATTCCTTTATATCATCCAGCCCAATTCCCAGCATGCACGGCCATTGTGGCTCTTTCAACTGGAGCTCTCCATTGACTGGCTCATTGTCCGGCCGCTCTTTTGTGTGCGCTATCACCAGAGCACAATCTTTCACCTGAACAGCACAGGAGCGCAGCCTGGATATGGTCACGTAAAAAAAAAAAAACACTGAGTCACCCACATAGATGCCAGGCTACACAATTAACCCAGTGCTAATTAAGAAATATTTGGCGCGTATATCAACAAATACAAATCTTGGCTGATGCTTGTTAATAACGCGGCCATTCGTCATGCCCAGACAACCTGCATCAGACAGAGATGTTCAATATTACTGCACAGGCTTATATTACTGAGAGAAGGGTTTTTTTGAAATATAACAATGCATGAGCAGATGTTTGAAGCGTGGCCCTCGGCAGCACAAGGCTAGTTAAGATCGATATTGCTTTCAATATTTCTTTCCTTTGACAGATAACCAGTACTGAGGAAAGTCTTGATAAGAGTGGCAACATATGGATGTAGCGAGCCTCGCTCTCTTTTGATTGCGTGACCCCTTGACCTTTGCCTGTGTTTGAGAGGGAGGCAGCCACATGGTACGGTGGGGGTCTGTCAGGCTCTGGTTATGGGGCATTATTGACCCAGGATTTATAAATATTTAATGCACACATTAAGATCATGGTGGAGGGTGGCCATTAGAGTTCTCCAATAAAGAGGCTCTCACGATGATTGAGTGGTGTGGCAGAGCTAGTAGCTGGTCGTTGGATACAGAGAAACCTGCTGAGACAATATACTGTACCTCCAGTCTGCCTGCCAGGCTTCCAAGCTCTTAAAACTGGCAACAACTGAGCAAACTTGTCAGAGTTTTTTTTTTTCAGTGTACTTTTACCCTCAGGATTGTGCCTTGCCTTTTTTTCCCTCAGTTGGTTATTGTTTCTGTGATGAGAGACAGTTTCCTTGGTTTCCTTCATTTGGCAGAACGACTAAATAAATATACAGTTTGTGCAACATTTTGTCATTAAAAAACAGAGACAGCAGTAAGCACGAAGCCCAAACCTGTGTATGTGTATCTGAAACAGATAATGCAATGTTAGGAAGCAGATGTGTGGCTGTTGTTATCAGACACGTTGGATTATCGAGGGGCTGATTTGATGCACAAGGCGATCGCAGCTGAAAATGAAATTGCTCTTTTGAGTGTATCTGTCCTTTGCGCTATCAGCAGCTCCTGGACTATCTCTCGTGCCGCAAGATCCTTGCATGCCGGTTGACATAATAAGCTGTGATATGCTGATTGCCGCTCAGGTTGCAGTCGTTTAATTGTGCATTAAAGGGAGAGGTGGCCTCGGACAATGTTGCCTTGATGAGAAATTGACATTTTGTGACCTGCTCTCCGCGGCCACTCAGGATGCCAGATAAGATGCTCAGTTGTTTTTAAGAAGAACCACTATTCTTCCCTCAAACACTTCTATGCTTCTGTTTGACCCACTTGATGAGTATAGATTTCACAGTGGCCCCCCTTTCAGCGCTCAAACTATAAGAGGTTCAAAACGATACCAGCCCTTATAGACAAAGGATAACCTTGCTCTTTCAATGTATTGATTCTTTATTAACTAGGTGGCTTAATGCAATGAAATGAGGGATTTGAATGAGCCCCATTTGGGGTGCTTTGAATAAAAAGCTTGCACTGTTTATGAATGACTACAATGAACCTTTGAAGCACCACAGATGCAGGATATGCTGATACAAAGACCAGTAGGAATATGTCACAATGTCAGAGTGCTTTGCTGAAAGAATATGACTAAAGAGCAGTTTTCATCTTTTATGGATGTTACACTTTTCCACAGGTTTCAAACAATTATCTCTATGGCAAAGTCTAAACACTACAACTTACAGACGAATCACAGGTTTGTCCTCAGAAGTTTCTACTGTCTTTTTCTTTTGTCCTGATTGTCAGTTTGTCTGCCAGCCAAACTGTACTTTGAACTGAAGAAGTCCACAGTTGAGGAGCTATTGTGTTTTTACTGAAAATTTTAATAAAACATCACTTATTCATTTCTGTTTCCATTCCAAATGTTGACATTTTTAAATTTTCTTCCCTGTAAACACATGTAAGCTATGTGGCAGAGTCATAAGTGGTGAGTAAAAATGACTTCTATACATTCTACAAAACAGAAAAAAATACAACCACAAATGGAGTGTTTTTTTTATCTCCAAGGTTGTCCCTCATGCACATTAGTCTCTATTGGATCTTAACAACTATCATATGGGTCACAAACAATTTATTTGACAATACAACCAACAAAGTTTTCTCCAAAATGGTCTGTATAGATAATTTAAAATCAATATAAAAATAAACAATGAAGTTTGACTTCCCCTTTAAAAAATGGACAGAGAGTCTTGACGGAGTAACACAAATTTTGAGGATACACATGAAATATATGCACATTGCATTTCATCAAATACAAAAAGAAAACAAATGAAGGCAACAGTTCTTGGCTGAATTATCTGTGCTGCATCACTATATTAAGGGCATGACGATTAATACATACATAATGAAAAGCAATATACAAAATTTCAGAGATAAATACATTATTTATAGTTGATATGTTACAAAATTTCCCTCAGTGAGCGCAAGTGTGTATTTGAACAGAAATATGACAATGAACTACTATACTCCTACATTCTCAATGGATTTTAATTTTGTTTTTAAATGTTTTTTGTTGATCTAAAAGAACATGAAAAAGACAGATGTATAAATATTTAGCACAAGTTTGGCAATATCACAATAGTCTACAATTTTTAACCACATATAAAACACATAAGGGAGTTGGAGCTAGAAGGGGGAGACTGCTCCTCATCAACAAGAAACAGACTTCACAGTAGCCTAGGAATGCATTAATATACAGTGCTAGCAAAAAAGTTGAAAAACATGGCAAAACACACTTGCTTAAAAGGAAGCTCTAGACATGGAAGTACATCATATTCATCAACAGAGCAGTGTTTTGTACACGTCAGTGTGCTTGTTGAATCAAAGAGGATTTTTTTTTACTTTTGAAGATGAGTTCTAGCTACAATAAATTACAAAATTTAAGTTAAAATGCAGGAATGAAACATGATACAACCATACCCACCCAGCCCCACCCATTTTACGCGTATTTGTTGTACTTTTATGATCAATTTTCTACATTATATATCTTATATATTTTCCAGTTGAAATTCAAACTGTCTTGGCCCCTGTGTATTTTTCTCACACATAAAAATACAAAAAGTCACATTATAAAGACACACAACTGTTGTGAATCTATTAAAAGAGAGTTGAAACAGAAAAACAATTTCTGAAGTTCATTGGCAAATGTACTGTACATCAGTGTTTTTACTTTACAACCAGATGGTGAGTCCACAGAGTCCCTTCCAGTATTGAATGCGTGGTTGATTGGACATATCCAAGGCCGAAGCACAACCCGACAAGTATACAAAATAAACCCTTCATCATCCTGTGTCCTCTTGTGATAAAATGCAGGAAAAAAAAAAAATCCCACAGAAAAAAAAATATTGTTCCTCATGAAATCCTTTTTTCTGCAGGTTTGCAAAAGTCATTTAGAAGAGGGGGGAAATCATTTCTTTTCTTTTTTTTCTTCTTCATCTTTAAAAACAGAACAAGCAGTTGACTATACATTACACCAGAGTTTTGCTGTGTGCTGAGGGGGTGTCCTGTGAAGTGGTAGTGTGTAGACTGGTGCTTGAGATGATGAAAGTGCATTTACATTGGAGGGACAACCAGGCCTGACATGGCTGGAAAAAACAGAGACAGAAAGAATACGATTAGTTTATAGGGCTAAAACAGGCATGGATATAAATATGAACATTGATAAAATAAAATCTAATTCTGTGTGTGTGCATGCATGTGCCTATGTGCTAGTGCATGCGTGTGTGTGTGTGTGTGTGTGTGTGTGTGTGTGTGTCCAGCCATCTGACACTGCACAAGTGCTTGAATGTATGCCTTAATGTGCCTGTTTGCGTATGTGCCTGTGAGTGTTTGCCGTGTCCGCCAGCCTGCTGCTGCACGTCCTCCTAACGGGGAGAGTTTGAAAACCTCCCTCCTGCTCTGACATTTCAGCCCCCAGCATGCCAGTCTTGCTATGTGTGATATTTCTCCTGGCGTTGGGGTAATGGCAAACAGTGGCCCAGACTCCCAGGAGATGTGGCCGTGGTGACGGCAGAGCAACAACACGGTCACTTCCCACAATGCCACAATGCTACAGTACTAGACACTCCTCAGACTCCCCTCAGATTCATTTCCTTCCTTTCCTCCCCTCATCTATCCAACACTGTACAGCGCATTAGTCCTACATTTCCACATTCCCCAAGTCGTGCCTCTGCGTCATTATCTAAGAGAGATTAGGCAAGATCAAAGGTAGCTTCCGTTATCTTACCAAGACCATCTGCTTAGGATATCATTAGCAACTGTACCTCACCCTGAGAGTTTATATATTCAGAATTTCACACGTTTTAACAATTAGGCAACTAGTGAAGTGCTGGGATGATATATTATTATATTGCTCTGAGTATATTTGTAGAGTCATGGTTGAAATGCTTTTAAGTTTGCCAGCGCAGATGATGGCAAGGCATTGCTCATTAATTTCTGCACAACATGTATTAATAAGTATGAACGTGTAGCAAGATGAACTTTAATTTCCCACTTCATTAAGCCCAATGTTATTAATCTTGGGGCACACACTTCGGCTAAGCTTGTTTTCAAAGCAATCATGTTGGTCATGACACATGCACAAAACCTAATAAACATAATTACTAAAACAATTCTGGGAGGGTCTTTTCCTGCGACATCAGAGGGGATCATTTGTACGAAAGGGCAATAAGGATGTATGTTTGCGTGTGTTGTTTGCACAGACGTGAGATGGCGCTTGTGTGTGTGTGTGTGTGTGTGCAAAGACATGTTCTGTGTGCGTGTTTGAGTGTGAACTGAAAGGTGTAAATTGGCCTGTCAAAATGCATATATTTGTAATGATTAATCCCTCACCAAACCGGACAGAGGCCTGAGCAGCGGTATCTGACCAGTAGTCCGTAGGGAAGGGATGAGGGGGTGAGGGGGGCTCACCTTGCAGTCCGTTGCCGTTGGCGCTGGTGCAGGAGGGGGGTGGGGAGGCCTGGGGTCGGACCACAGGGGCGAAGGCGCTCTTTTGTTTAACTGCAGAGACGATAGGGAGGGAAAAGGAAGGGGGGTGGGAGGGAAGTGAGAACGTGCTGTGAGTAGTGCTGGAGAGGGAGAGGGCAGTTAAGGTAAGGCTGGGATAGTATTACTGCCAGGGGGGATACACGATCAGTACTCACAGGCCCCTACCATCAACATCTTGTCTGGTTGAACAAATACAGGTGGCATATGGTGAAATACACATAAAAATGAATATTTCTTCTACTCTGAGCTACATGTGTGTCCTCCGAAGTACTTAAACTAAACAAGCCCCTGTGAATGAATAGTAATATATTATCACCATCAATAATGTTATAACCCTGTCAGTAGTGATTCATAGAAGTGAAAACGAATGTGGGAGCTGGAATTAAATCAGCAGCAGCTTAGTGCTACTAGAGCCTGCGATAGTGGCAAGCTACTCACTTCCATATGGGGAGTTGGCAGAGGATCCGTTGAGGAACCCAGGGGAGCTTGGCACTCCCAGGTTCATGCCGGCATTGCCGTAGCCATTCATGCTGTTGCTGACGGTGTTGTAGCTCGACTGCTGCGGGGTGCTGCTGGAGATGTAGCCCCGGGGGGACACGCTGCTGGTGTTCCGGCTGTAGCCCACTGAAAAACATGGGCGGTAGATGGAAAGGGAAGTTCATTCATTTCAGTGCTTACCAGGGAAATGTTCGCTGATTACAGTAAATTATAATGGAAAGTTACTGCTGCAATCAAACATTTTTATATCAGCACAAACTGCAGATGCCAGTTTAATACGATAAGAATTTGGCACTTAATTAGGCCCTTGAACTGCCTATATCATAGGTGAGGATGGGGGCAGTTAACCCGGTGTTCACAAACCTAATTTAGCTATTTTTTTATTTTAATGAGAAAAAAAGAGTGAAATTTAACTATTTACTATATTTTTTATTTAATTTTGCTGCAAACCCCTTGGAATCCCCTCAAGGACCCCAGTGGGTCCCTGGACCCCACTTTTGAGAACCACTGAGTTACGGAGCCATATCCTAAATCACATACCTTGGTCATTCCCTTGTGACTCAGACACATTGACTGCTAGCTGGCTGCTGAAGGAGTTGACTCCCATCATGCCGTGGGAGGCTGTGTTAGCGAGAGAGGGGATCTGGTTGTGGTTGCGGGGAACGCTGTACAGGGCCTCGGCGATGTCAGCTGCCCTCTTCAGAATGATCTCCTGAGAAGCACAGAGAAGGTAGAGGTTTTGTTATTTATGTTTTTTCTTATAGCTGTGCTTTCGCTTTGATGCATGGTTCATGGCTGTATGGTTAACACATGTAGCCTACATTGTTCCAGATATAGTGGTGAAAATACCCTTTGGTGATACTGTCAGTATATTTTCAATGCTTTCTTATTCGCTGAAGCAGCTGTGTGGATACAGACCTGATTGTTGTGGGGCATTCCATACAGAGCTTCAACAAGATCAGCCGCCCTCTTCAGTAGCACCTCCTGATGAGGAAAACAGGAAGAGTACATGTTAAGACCAGAATATGTTTGAGACCCCAGTGGTCCGTGCAGTAACAAACAATATCCAAAACAACATTACACAGCAGTGTCGTGCAGTGCTTTAGAAATGTTTACATATTCAACCGCCTAAATAAAAGCCACCCTGATTTAAGAGGCACCAGTGCTGCGTTTATACAGCACTACCACTTTACTGCTTCCAACCATGCAGAGCAGTGAATAATGTTCCCTATCTTAATTAAACTGGCATAGTCCTTTAAAAACAACACCTCACCCCTGATTCTGGGCTTCACGTTTGCTCTGGAGTTCAGTGCCGAGTCCCCTCTCTTCAGAACAATAAAGTGAATTAGCTCTGGGTTAATCTAGTTCTGTTGTAATGACATTAAGGAATTTTTCAATTAACCTCTTTGACTGGCTGTTGCAAAGGACTTCACAAATGACTTCCCATCCAGCAAGAGCTGGGTGCTTGTGCCTTGGGGACACGGATGCTCAGGATGTGGTCTTATCCATGTCTGCATGCTTGCCCCCGCTTGACAATGCGGATTAGCTGTGTTGCTTTGGCTCTTAACACTGAAAATGAGTTGGCCCCGGATCCTGTTCCCCCCACTCTGTTTCAGGCTTTTAGCAAGGTGGGGTTTGGCCCGTTTGTGTGTCTTTATCTGCTCTTTGAATTCAGCACTTACAATTAAATCCCTCTCGAGCGACCAGACTGCTCTCTTTGTTTTCTATAATACAGAAGGCAATATGCTCTATGAAAACCCTCTTCTCCTTTTAGAGTGCATTTAATCTGACAAAGGCAAGTTGCAGACATGGCTGTTGCGTGTGTTTTTAAAATGCTCGCTTGTTGTCACCTGCTGTAGAGCAGAGATTTGTCGACTGCGCTGTTAGAACCCTGGTTAAAAGCAATGCAAATCTGTCACCAGAAACATCTCAGATGGTGCTTGTTTTCTTCCCACATTCGCTGTGTTTTCTTTTGCGGGCCTCGGTAATTTGTCTGAAGTGTTCCATCACTTGGCAATAGCAGTGTGGGATTAAGACGGCAGCTGCCGTAAATGAATGTAAACACAGCCTTCGCGCCTTCAAACAGCGGCCTCCAAGACTTGGCCTGCATTTCCAAGGCACAGCCTATGTAGTGTGTACGGAGTGTGTGTATGGGCCCTTTCATCCTGAGGAGCATATCTACCACAGCCCTTGATTTATCAAGATGAATCACTGTAGAAGCCACTTCCAGCGTATGCCATGCTCTCTTATAGAAACATATCGCTTAATCCACCCCAAGTTACCGGATGGGTGGCTCTTAGAATGGGCATTTACCTCTGAAATTGGTGTGTATGCTCAACGTTGCATGCATCTAGTTTGCATACAAATAAAGAATTATGGTTGTCGTGAGGCAGGTAGACTAAATGAGAGGACCAGCTGTCTTGATGTGTTCTCATCAGGCAGAACAGATTTTTCTCTCTCTTGCTGAGTGAGATAAAGTGGTTTTCTTTCTTTTTGTCTGCAGTTAATAATTACCAATAATCTATTCTATCATATTTCAAGATCTCATACATGGCTCTCAATTTTAAACAACAATTAAAGCAATTAAGACTGTCGCGTTCACAAGCCATGTTTCATTCTCTGTAAAACGTCCTCTCCCTCCTTGTCCATATGGTACTTTGCAGCAGTGACATAAGGACAGCTTGGAAAAAGGAGGAGAAAAAACGATATTGCCTCTCATCCTTAATCTGTCGTTTACCGCGTGGTGTCTTAACTAACCAAGCTGACTCGCAAGGCTATGCTTAAGTGGCAACCTAGTCATATCCGAGGATGATGAGAAGTGCTGCACCCAATCAAGGAAGAAGTTTGTTTTCTTCTGACGAGACGCTTTCATGCGTATCAACTCACGCTGTGAATACGATTAACACGGAATAGTGTTCTGAGGGCATTTCCATGTAAATCTCAATACTACTCCAGCATAAGTGTAATTGGCTTTCTTGTCATGGAGACATATCAGAACACACCATGTTAAATTGAAACAATTAACGGCCTCAAATGATTTCTGTTGTTCTGTGACAAATGCGTGACAGATTTCTGCTATTGTTTGCCTTGCTTTGCATAAAGGTCTCGTGTTCAACAACTGTTTAAATGGGGCTGCTCAGATGACAGATCACCTAAGATTTAGAGGCGGTTTTTCCGTTATTGCCGAGAAGAAATTAGAGGAAGCCATAACAAATTATGTGTTATAAAAAATATCTAACAATGAGGAGAAGTGGTCTAAAACAGCGCTGAATGTGATTCTTCAAGCACTAGATTAACATGGATGTTGTATTTATATTATCACAGTTAATAAAAGAGGGCCTAGGTTATGTAGCTTGGAGTGCTAATGCCATTATAAAACTGTAAGGCAATTACTCTGTTAGCTCTAGCCTGAGGTAATGAATGCATTTAGAAGCATGGGGCCATTAGATGAAGGTACTTCAAAGAGCACAGGAAGAGAGATTCATTTAAATACATGGGTAATTGCTTGACATGAACACATTTGTAATATTTTCTCCTTGTGGATTACACAAAGAATTGGAAAAGAATGGGCTTATGCTCATTTTGGGAGGAAAGAAAAGAATCCAAAGCAATCAGCTTAATAATAAAACAATATTGAGTTTCCACTTTTAATTTCATAATGAATCTAATTTGTTACAGAAGAGAGAAATTGAGTGTGATATAATGTGATATCCAGTCTATTTGTCCATTACTGCCAGAGGGCACAAAATGGTATTATAAATTGTCTTTTTTATATTATGAATAGAAAATTGTTTTATAACAAGATCTTAAAAAGGAGGGTGAATTCCAAAGTCTCTCTTCACTTAACGCGATGCCCGCAAACCAATCTCCTTTCTCATCACTTGACTGCTCACACTTATTACTTTCATATTCACCCTGGACTTTGCATTGAATTTTTATATCTCCACTCCTCCCACAGGGTCAGACTGTCATCTACGATGTTGTCTTAGAATTACGAGGTAAACTTCAATCAGAGGCAGCTTCCCCCCTTTTTTCTCTGTGTAGCAACAATATTAGCGTGCATCCCTTGCTATCCATGAGCACTCCCATATTGGCTTTCTGTCTCCTTACAATTACCACGTGTCTTACTGGTCCCAGGGAGAAGGCTGGTGGAAATCAATATAGCGCAGTAATATTATCAACTGGAGGGTGAAGTCATGGGAGGGGGGGTAGAGGCGGTGAGTGGGCTTGGTGTCGATTTGCCTTTCTGCTAATGCACACCGCGCGTCCTCCAGCTTTATCTTCTTTTTATAGAGTCTCCCAACCTCACCTGCACCCTGTAATGGCTGTTCTCTATATGCTGTTTCTGTTTTCATTCCAAATGTACATGCCAGCCTCAGCCTGCCGCAGGCTGTTTTATTGGGAATGTGCTTTTGACCCCGAGAGCTGACCCTCAGATGGCAAGCTTAACAATGACGAATCACTTGGTGGGATCATTTACATGCCCCCTGAACCCCATATTTGGGTCCATTAGAGAGCAAATCAAATATTTATGTTGTTTATTGGAAGTGCAGGGTTTCATCTCACTCTGTGATTGTTTCATGCAAAGGCTGGGAGACCGTGCTATATTAAGTATACGCACACCCGGGAAACTAATCTTGGGTTCAGTGTCAAAATCTGTCTCACAGCCAACAGCGCTTTTGTATTCAAGGAAAGAAGTAAGGTTTCTCTGTAATAAAGCTGTGTTTAACATTGTTACTGTCTTTGTTCAAAAGATGTGGATTTCACAAAGACGCAGTGACTTTATAAAATGGAAACAGTGTAGCTAGATTGACCGGTGATGCCTGCGGAGATAGAGTAAGTCATGTGGCTATTAAAGGTAAGTGTACTTTACCTGTTGGTCTACGTTTACAGTTGAAATTAGAGTAACATTTCATGTCTAGGTGTTGTTTCCTGTCTCCACAGGGACTGAGTCTAATTGAAACACTTCATATACTGAACCTGGGACTTGCTGTGATGTTCCATTTCTCCACATTGCCTTGGTCAAACGTCTATAGCTACCACACAGTCTGTTCTTTATTAAATTGTCCGTTGGACGTTAATGATATTGCTGTGTTGCATGCTGGGATTTAATAGATAAGGTCTTTAAAGGTTTTACAGTATTATTAAAACTCTGAGGTGGCCACCACTTTACTACATGCCAAGGGGTTTTGAATGTACTAATCAGTCATATTATTACACTTGACACATCTGGAACGTCAGTCACCAAAATTGTTACTGGCAGGGTGGCAATTAGTGAAAATACACAGATAGATTTTATCAATCGGAAATGGAAAGAGCAAAATAATCAAAGGGAATGAAAAAAGTAAAAGAATCAAAGAGTTTCTACAGGGGAGGGAAATAAAAAAAAGAAACACGTGCACCTTAGTTTTCATGCTAGGTCTTATATCAATATGGCAGCCTATTCATGTGCCACACCAGTGTGTCTATAACTGATGTGGCTTTCAACTCCTTCACCCAGGTTCAAAAGAAAACAATAAGAAAGCCAAAGCATAATAACATGCAGTCTTTGTCTATTAGCTGCAGTAAGACTAGGGGGTTTACGGCACAGGGTTCTGTAAACAAAAGATTAAACCAAATCGAGCTGCAGAAAATGAAAGGAAAACATGAGTGGGGTAATGAGGGTGCAGACGTCGTTTCTGACCAGATTACCATCTCCACAGACTACTGGAGAGGAAAACGCCTGATTGAGCTATTTTACCACACAGAGAGTTTACGCCTCTCTCCACACACAAAACCAATACCATTACCATGCTGGTTAGTGGGTAAGCCACATATGTGAAGCAAAGCTGTCACGGTTTGGGGTCACAGTGCTCTGCCTTGATGGTAATGTTGTGTTTATTTGTCATATTTAGAGTATTAAGGCATTACAACCCAGACAGCTCTGTCTCTTGGCTGTTCTGTGTTTTTCTAGGCTGCAGAGACACTGTACTGACCTTTGGTAACCTCTCAGGATCGCCAGGGTGTCTGGGGATGACCTTCTGCAGCCTCTGGAAACCATAGTCAATGGTTGGCTCATTCAGGGCTGAAAGAAAGAAAAGGAAGATGAAAATTGGTTTCAGGGCTAATTTTGACAGAGACAGGAAGAAACTAATTGAGAAATCTGTTAGAGTTTACAGTATAAAAGTTATTTCAGAATGCCTAATTTCAAAGAAACCTCAGGGGTGAGACGATGTTTTATGAAACATTACCGGCTGGGAGGGGGCAAACGACAGAAAATGACACGGGTTCCTCTGACACTTGTGTCACCAAGTGTTATTCCATTAACAGTCATGATGACCTACATCAGTCTGAGAATCCTTCAGAAGGACCCTCCCCCTTTTTATCTGCTTGAGTATATTGACTACAGAAAACTACATAGAGAGGTCTTTTAATCTAACAGAGCTTTAATAATCTGTGAAAGGCTGTCCACACATTGATCTAGTGTAAGTTGCTGTCATTTCACCCTTCTGCACCAACTGTACTGCAACACTGGGCCTGTGAAATACGGCAGCGGATCCCATGGTGCTATTAATCTCTCCCACCCCTCAAATAGTAATCTGGGGCATGAGGCATATTGGGCGATGAATCAGAGGCACAAAGTAAATGAATCATAACCCAGACTTTGGTGAGAGCAGGGCGTTTTATGTCTGACAGTCCTAATGGGTAATTGAAGGCTTCCTTACAGCTCCGCCTGATTCTAAACAATCATGTGTACACTCATAGGCAAGACAAGGCAAGGGAGGGAGGGCAGAGGAGAGAAGGAGGGGAGGAAAGGAGTGGAGCAGTCTAAAGGGGGAAGGAATGACTTAATAGAGAACATCACTTCTCAATGTAGATATCATTTTCAGGAGAGTAACTCCGCCGAGCAAGGCGCTTCATAAATCAATGGCTTTCTATGGAGACTAATAAGAGCTGCCTGCCTCTATTCATTGTTCAGCCTGTAATTTGGCCCATCACTCATTACTCAGCATGTAATTTCAGCATTAACACTACACAGCTCGCTGAACCTGCTGAACACCAAGAGAACGTGAAAGCAAGTGAACTACCCCCCCCCCCACACACACACACACACACACACACACACACACACACACAAGCAGGGCCACTGAAGCACAAGCTAGGGAGTCATGGCACTCCTCCTCCTTCTTTTGTTCCCCCCTCATCTAAATACACATGCAAGCATGCTCACGCACAACCTATGGACACACACACGCGCGTGCTTACTGTACCTACTCACGCATACAAACAGTAGCGCAAACAGTCATGTACTCACATACATACGCACAATCGAACACATGCACCACTTCTGCCAAAACCTGAAAACAGTAATTGCCAACTCGACCGTGATCAAATGGAGCAATTATGTGTTCAAGCATGGACAATGCACGGTGCTAATCGATAGCAAGGATCCAGCTTGCAAATACAGTGGTATTGTGCCCTGCCAACCAGGCACACCTGAATAAACGCCCCACCGCAACAACATACACTGCTGGAAATCTGATTTGACATGTCATCATGCGTCCCGATACGACAATGGTCTGCTTTGGAATGTGGGGGGGCACCATCTTCTCCTTAATAAAGGATTGATCTGCCGTATTGATCGCACATGACAAGGCTGTAGCAAGGAATTTGCCCCCTTTCTTTTGTTATTTCCACCCCCTTTTTTATCTATGCACTCTGGCAGTCCCGTACATGTGTACATACACACAAGCATGTGCATATGTGTGTGCGTGTGTGTGTTTGTGTGTGTGTGTGAGTGTGAGTGCACGTGCCCAGCTGAGAGAGTGTATGTGCACGGCAGCCCTGCCAGACCCCGCTGCTCAGTGTGATGTAAATTGTGTATGTGTAAAAAGCACTCCATAATCAGGCCATCCATCATCAGAGGCTGTCAGTGGGCTCTCTCAGGGTGATACATCACGCTCTCCTGTCCTCTGCCTCAGCTGGGGCCTACACAACCCGCCAGGCATGCTGGGAACACAGCCGGAGAGACGTACAGTACAGGACAAGACCTAGGCTGGGAGAGGTGTTCTGTTTGATGTGCCTTTCCAATGATAATGATGCCCTACTGTAAATGCAGACCCAAGAATTATGATGAATGTGATCTGGAGGGTATACCCTTTATCAGCGTTTTTTTTTACAACTTACATACAGTATTAAATGCCTACATATGGAGAAATTTAAATGTGTCAAACAGAACAAAAGTTACATTTAAACTTGTCTGAGTTTAAAACATGGCTCAGTGTTCTGCAGTCGCAGTCCAAGCGTCAGGCATGATCTCCGCATGTCGACATGTCGCCATCTCATCTATCATGGAGATGATCTTTGTAACAACCCCAGCGTAATGAAATTGGTGACACAGACCGCCATCTGCTATTGATTTCATGCAAATGCTTTTGACAGCTGATGGAGACTTGCATTAGCACTAAACGGTGCTGTCAGTTGATGAGTTGACAGTTTTGTAGTCATGGCATGTACACTGGTGCAGACAGACACAGACAATGTCAATAATCCTGTAAGAGCTGCTGATGATATATACTGAGGACTTATATTGAATCTGGACAATAAATGTGTTACATGTGTATTCATCGCATTGCTCTGCACATTTTTTCTTCCGAGCAAAGATTTTCCTTCATCCGCTGAGCTTTCACAAGAATCATTGGGACCACTCTTCTTACTTTTTCTTACACCACACACATTGACAGCAGCCTTGCCTCCCCCCTTTTCCTCCCACCTCTTCACCCTATGTCTTTTTTAATCCTTGGCACATCATTATGTTCCAACTTCACACTCTGTCGTAAACTTAAACCACTCTCTTCTAAAGATATAACAGGCAAATCATGCCCTTGCATGACTCCATGCATGCCAGAATTAGTTTGGCCCTCCTCGTCCTTCCAACACAATATGGTGAAAGGAAGGGGGTGAGGGTGTGGAAGGAGCGTGTGTGTCCCCCCCTCCCCGTAAGGGTTCTCAGTTGCTGCAAGGAAACATGAAACCCTCCACACACATCCCATAAATCCTGCACTGGGTGGGGAGTTTAGCTGAGGGGAGGAGGGACCGAGGAAGGAGGGGGGATCAGAGAGGAGGCATGATAGGGTTGGGTAGGGTTGGGGGGGGGGGGGGTCGTTGGCACGTTCCAGTCACGCCCGCTTCCCGGCTCGCGGCCAATCAATACCACTTTCCTGTTTTAGAGGCGGGTAATTATGAGGTGGAGAGATTGTGTGACCTCTCACCCCTGCTGCATTACTCGCCTGATATTAAGATAAATTGCCTGATTTTGGGTAAACATATGCTGCAATTCAAACTGTCAGCACTGGTTTGCTCAGGGATAATTTGTATTGATCTCCTGGCTTCTTCCCCATTTTGCTTACTGACCTCATGGATAATTAGAGAAAAAGAGACACGGGGAGGTAAGGCAGGGCTTGCATTTGAATACTTTGCAGGAGAGATGAAGAGCACATGGGAAAGGGGGCCGAGGGAACATTATGGACTAATAGAATTTTCATTTTCTCTCATTTTCTGTTCAGATTTAGACAGGTTGCATGTTCTGTCCAATTACAACGCTATGTTTTTTCCCTGCTTGTGGCAGATATACAGAGATATAATTGTTCATAGATTTGTTTCCGTAGTTGGAGAAGATTAAAATTTAACAGAAGTAATGAAACAATAAAGTGACAGCAAATATCAAATTTAACAGCTGATAACCAAAAGAATGATTGCCATATTTGAGTAAAAGGAACATGGTAACTGATTTCTTGACAAAGTAATCAGTACATGGAGGTTAGGAAAAACATCCTTCATGGAGGTTAGGAAAAACATTTTTTCCAATATTTCAGTGTTTTTTTCACTCTAGAGAGTGAATGATCATGTTTCAGAATATGAAGAAATGGAATGCATGACTCGGTGTGCAGCTGTGACCATATCATTTCCAATTTTGAATATCACGCATGCGCACAAGCATGCATTCAGTGGAATTCCTCTGCCTGGAATGTGTACTTCCCAATCATATTTTGATCTAACACCTTAATCTGCCCGTCCTTTCATGGTAGAAACACATTTTCTCTGAGAGCTTCTTGAGCTGCCCCAGCTAGCCACTTTACTTAAAATGTAGAGTGGATGGCCTGTACATGGCATCTGAGCGTGGTCTGCTGCTTCTTCTCCATGTTCTCTAGAAATAGGACACGAGTAACCGCTCTACAGGAACTGTGTAACATGGCTGACGTTGGCAGCCAGAAGTGCTTACATGGCAATACATCACTGTGTGCCCTCGGCCTATATGGAAGTGGACTGAACACATGTATTGACTTACAGTATTGGGGTATAAACATAGGGAAATGTTTGAGCAAAGCAGTAAATTTAAGGGAAATTGTTCCTTGTTAAGTCTATGAGCCTGAATAGAAGCCCGCACAGAGTACTAGCATTCCTGCCAGCCATTACAGCTTATTACGATAACTCTATCTTTCCAGGAGATAAAAACCTAGCCTTGTTGCCATTTGCCAGCTATTACTTTCGCTAATTATACTTAACTGCTTCGAGCTTATCTCCACTCCTCCTACACCATTGAGCAGTTATTTTTTTCTTTCCCCTTAACACAAATTAGAGGTGGAGTGGGAGTTGGAAAGGGGGAGACAGATAAACAGCACAGGCAGAAGTTCATTCAAGTGTTATTGCATTTGTGACTTGTCAAACAGTCTAACTGAAGCCTTCTAGGCACCTGTGGTCTGTTAGATGGATGCAGTTCAGAACAGCATCAACACACATAATGACCTAGTCTCTCTGATGTTTAGAGTCTACTGGAGACATAGAAAGAGTAAATATCTTCGCAGTGTTACTATAAGGATTAAAACTTAAATGCTGTGCATACAAAGAAGATAAGATATTCAGAGGTCATGCTACTGCTCCACAGTATAGATATGTTCCAGTGTTGAGAGAAGAGAAAACACGCATGCAGATGTAGAGACCATCTTCAAAAAACCAAACCAAATTGGAATGTTCACAGCAAACCCACGCAAAGCAAACCTCATCTGTTTTAACACTGACCATATC